GGGGGCCCAGCGCGGATTCAAGGAACCCGCGCGGAGCGCCAAAAGTTTATGCTCACGGTGTTTTCTTCTTCGAATAGAGGCCTACGAGACGGGGCCCGAGCAAATGGGGTCGGATGAGAGCACCGCATCGCCGATGCATCCGCGATGCGGCGCAGTCCTCCGACCTCATCTGGGACGGTGTCACGCGTGCTGTTCAGCGATGACCTGGCTTATCCAGTTGGGGAGCGAAGCGACGGCCGATGATTTGCCATGCCCGCTCTGGGTAGCACCACGCAGGCCCCCGCGCGCACCAGCACTACGTACACCCCGGTCGTACCTGCACAGCCGACAAGGTCAGGTCATCAGGGAGGGGGGGAGCGGGCGGGCCCGGTGTTGACCCGGTTTATCGCCGGACCCTTGAAGCAATCTCTATATATACTCCGCCCCCCTCTGACTACCTACCAGACCAGCCCAACACAATCCGAAGACCCGAATTTCGGGTTGGGGGGGGTAAGGGTTCCACATGTGTTTTCTCGATGTTTCTCGACCCCCCCCACTGGAAATCGAGGGTAAATCTGAGCCTTCGGGTTGGGTTGGGGTGGTTTGGTGGGTGGTGACCCTCTGAGAGGCCCAGATCCTGGTGATGTACCCGCAGTCCGGGTCCCGCTGCGTCTCGCCCGCCGCGCTGCTGGACCCGTCCTCCACGATGTCAGAAACGAGCTCCCTCTCGCGGATCAGCCGCCAGTCGGGGCGGCGGGTGGCCGCGCGGTCGAAGCAGGGCATGAGCACGAAGCGGTCGCCGGTGTTCAGCGTGTCCTTCACGAGGAAGCCCTCCTCTGGAGGAACAACAGACGACATGAACACTGTCCATCGCTCGGACGTCCATTCCCTGTGTTTTTTGTTCGGTTTCGTGCGTGTATTTTTCGCCAAATGATCAAGGATGCTCCTCGATGGTCCTCGCCGAGAACAAAAATGCACACGTCCGAGCGATGCCAAGAACAGAAACCTCCAGATCTCCGCGCAGAGATCCGAGAATGTATGCTTACGCGCTTGCGTTGTTCATGGATCCTTGCACTTGCCCTCCGCGTACAGCCTCTGGAACGCCTCCTGCTCCGCTTCCGACACCACCCACACAGGCGTCCTGAAGCGCCAGACCTTGGACTGTATCCGGAAGGACACGACCTCGCCAGGCTGGAAGCAGTGGTCTGGCCCGACCTGGTACTGCGTCGTGAGCACGTTGCCCTTCTTGAACCTCGTCCTGGCCACCCAGCAGCGCGACTCGCCCGCGTTGAGGTTCAGGAACCTGTCCGCCGGCACGTAGCTGGGGATGGTCTTCAGCCTGCCCTGCAGGAGGGGCAGAGCGAGCGAGGGTGCATCCGAGCAGGGAGGAGGGGCAAGACGAGAAGAAGGAGGAGGACGACGAGGAAGGAGGACTGGCAAGAGGGCGAGGATGACAGAGAATGGGGGCAAGAGCGAGCCTCCGAGGGCCTCCCAGCAGAACCTCCGAAGATACTCGAGCACGCTCGAGACCCCCAAAACCAGAGTATGTGACTGTGCGACTGTACAAAGGAATTGCCATACAAGCACAACAGAACCCCAGAAGCTCCTCCTCCTCCTCCTGCTCCTCCACCTCCTCCTCCTCCTCCTCCTCCTCCTCCTCCTCCTCCTGCTCCTCCTCCGCCTCCTCCTCCTCCCGAGAGGACCCCTGGGCCTGGGATCGGCGTGCACGCCGTCCTCGCTTGGCCAGGGGAGGCATGGACAACGATCCGGGGCCCAGCATCGGCACGGCCAGGGCCGGCGTGCGTGGGCAGCCCTCGGCGCCCGACCCTCTCAGAGCCTTGAGTCCTTGGCGCACCATGGTCCGCTGAAGCAACACACGGCGCAGACCCAGAGGAGGGGTGACATGACCCGTCCAGCGCGTGCCCAGGAGGGGTAGGCGAGTGAGCGAGGCGCTCCCCGAAGCGGATACCTGGCCTATCCCATGAGACTGAAAGAAGAACCGCGCAAGCACCTCCTCTTTGCCACCAGTGTGAGACAGGAGGCGGAGGGAGAGGAAGTGCAAGAGCCAAGCAAGCAACCTCCGGAACCAGCAAGGTCGAACTTCTTGGCCCACCCGTTGTCCCAGCGAGAACCAGTCAGCGGCAAGCGAGGGGGGGACGCAAGAAGGAGAAGGCCTTCTCCGAAGGTTCGGAAGTCCCCCAGCCTTCTGAGAAGTTCCTTCCCCGAAGACAGAAACAGCTTCTGAGAAGGCGCGAGGGCTTCTGAGAATGCCCTCTTCCTCCTCACTTCCCCCCCGGTCGCTCGCACCCGAGCCAGGACTGGTCCGCCCGCCCACCCGCGGCCTGGGAGCGGCCACGAGAGGAGGAGGCCCCTCGGAGAGGCAGGGGTCGCGCCCGGCCTTCATCTGCACGGGGCCGGCGTAGCTGTGGATCGCGTGGGCGTCGGCCCGCTTCGCCGGCAAGGTCATCTCGGGGAGGAGCTCACGGTCAGGAGTTTTGGCTTGCAGTGCGGGCGCGGTCGCAAGAAGCCCCCGCAAGAAACCCAACCCTGAAAACCCGCGCTCGCGGGGTGCATCTGAGGGGAAGCGCTGGGCACCCTGACCGCAACAACTCCTTTTGACGGCCGCGGGAAGTCACCGCGCAGCGCGCGGAACGAAGAAACCTGGGGTGGTACCATGGCGAAAAGCACTCGGTTTCTTGATGCGCGCCTCCACTGAAGCGTGTCACATTGTTGTTCCATACGTCGATGCCAGTACAGTCGAAGTTTTGTGGCGATGTCCTGAGCGGCATCGCAATTTTCGCTCATCTTTTGGGCGCTCTTGGGGCTTTCTTGGGGCCCGGTTTTGTTTTGGGCCGCCTTGATTTGTGACGACCTGAGGCCTGCAACAATGAATCCAGCATGATCTGACAAATATCATGTGTCGAGGTTGTCCTTTGCGAAATCGCCACTTTTGCAAGGCGGGCTTAGGTCATTGTGAGGACTTTCGAGAGCGATGTCTAGACGATGTTAGGAACGATGTGTGTGCGAAACTGAATTATTGTACGTTATGGTATTGAGGATGTCCCTAGCGAAATTGTCATTATCGAAAGTCCTCAGAATGCTCTTGAAGCCATCCTGGGGTCCTTTTCGGGCCCCTTTTTCTTCATGTTCGAACACTTCAAACACGATGCCAAGACGGGGTTGGGCACAGATTTGTTTCGTAAGGACGTCCCTAACGAAATGGGCGTTTGAAGAAGCGACGCCAGCAACATACGGCAATACTTGTTTGCCGTGCTGGTGCCCATTGTCAGAAGATGTCTCTAGCGATATCGTCAGTTGTAACATGAGAGGTAGTCAAGCAGCTCTGCCAACATTATACTGCCGAAGAAGTATCACGCGAAACGCCCAAATTGATGATCAAACGAACCGTTAGTTTACCCAGATCTGGAGGATATCTCGAACAAAACGCTCGGAGATCTAACAACTGTGTTGCGAACAATTGGTTGGTTAGGGTGTACCAAGTGAGATGCTTGAAACAAGAAGCCTGTCCTGACATGAGCGGGACGCGCGTGAAACCAAAGAGCGTGGCAGGAGCGTGCACCAACCGTGAGGTCAACTTTGGCATAGGCGCTCCTCCCGAAGGTCCACAAGGAATCGAGGTGGAGTTCAGTACCCGCGAAAATTCACACGCGGCGCTGAACTGGCGCACATACCAGACTTGCCCTTGCCTCTGCCTCCTCGCCCTCGTCGCCTGGCCTCCTGGCCCTCGGCGAAGCTCACTGCCCGCGCGAGTATAGCATAGGAGGCACCTCAACACCCTCGAGAGAACCACTCTGAGCTGGCGTGGGCGGCAGATCGAGCCGCCATCGGCGATGACTGGGCGGCCTGGGGTCAACGCGTCCAACCTTGAGCCTTCTCCCCCTAGAGCTGCCCCTGGCCCTGCCCTTCGGTCGGGCATGTCCTCCTACAGGCGGACTTCAAAGGACAAAGTTTAAAGACACAAATAAAATTACCCAATCGATTCCAAAATGGTCAAAACAAATCGTTCCCCGACTAATTTCGATACCTTTGAACATTCCTCTTGTAGAGGGGCACGCCCGGTTTAACCCTGCCCGTCCCCAGGCGCCTCGAACAATTCGACCTTCAGCTTCAGCTGCACAACGAGGGCGAGCGCCACCAGCCCCTGCCGCGCGAGGAGATCCCGCATCCGCGCGTCGACCAGGGCCTCGGGCTGTCGGGGAGGCAAAAAGACGGGAGGGCGACAACGAGAAGGGGAAGGAGGGATTTTGCTGGATTCTGCTGCCTTGTCACGCACGTGACCGAACTGCCATCAGTCACTGTCCCCACTGCTGTCAACATAGGTGCACACAACCTGCTGCTGCTGCTGCTGCAGCCCTCCACCGCTGCACCCATTGGCGGCGGCAGCGACGGCAGCAACACCAGGCGACGGTGGGTCCTCGCCGCCAAAAGGGCAAGGGAGGAGGAGAGAGGGCGAGGAAGAGGAGGGAGGGGGAGGGAGAGCTGGGGAGGGAGCGGGATTGGGGGAGGTACAAGAACGATGGTGATGATGATGCTGATGATGATGGTGATGATGAGGATGGTGGTGATGGCGATGATGGCGATGATGTCGATGATGTTGTTGTTGATGATGACGATGCTGATGACGATGATGCTGATGATGATGGTGCTGATGATGTTGATGGTGATGATGATGGTGATGGTGATGATGTTGCTGGTGGTGGTGTTGATGATGCTCGTGGTGGTGTTGGTGATGATAATTGTGATGGTGATGATGATGGTGATGATGGTGATGGTGATGATGTTGATGATGATGGTGATGCTGATGACGGTGATGATGATGATGGTTATGATAATGGTGATGATGATGGTGGTGATGATGATGGTGATGATGATGATGATGGCTGTGATAATTTTCCTCGACGTAAGGACCAAACTGCAGAGATGGCAGGTCTAAAGAAATAATATACGGTCCGTCGCAGAGAGCCTGTAGTTCTCGGGATGCCCCGCGCGGGGCCACGCTCTGAGGGTGCTGACACAGGGGGGCTGCGCTGCGCTGCCTCGGAACATTGTGGGAGAGGCTATACATGGAGGAGGGCACTAGCGCCTATGGCACTATGTCGATTGCTGCACGCCATAATCTGCATAATGTCAGTCTCACGCAGAAAGGTTAGCGCCGACCGATGATAATCGCATCCTGCCCTGCCGTCCTCCTTGACCGTGGGCTGCGAGTTGCCGCCGAGCTCATCGTGCGTCCGTGCAAATTGCTCCTCGTCGAGATCGCGGATGTGCTCCATTGCCAAACCGTTGACAGCCATCAGCGCGCCGACCTGGTCCCAGAAATGGTGAGAGACGGTGGCGTCGTACGCGCGCTCGATGGCCAGGCATACGATCTCCTCGCTGGTGCCTGTAAGGCGAGTCATCTCAGTAGCGAGGGCCTGGTTAATGGCGTCGTGGATGACAACAGGGATGAACTCGTCGATGGAATCGGCCATGGAAGGGGCATCTGTGTCAGCGTAGCAGGTGTCAACAATCTCGCGATCCTTCGGACGGCTGGTCTCGTCCCTGAGCGTGGAGGTGTGGTAGCACATCAGCTCCTCTTTGCTAGTGGAGTCCATCATGGTGTCCGCCTTGGAATCGAAGTTGCTGGAGTTGGGGCACGTCTCGAAGTAGTAGCCCATGGGTCCCTTGATGCTGCCCTCGGGGAGCCGCTCGGGCTCGGCGCAGATCTCTTCGTAGGGAGTGGGGCCATTGGTGGTGCACGGAGAGCGAGAGACGCCATTGATGCGGTCCTCGGCACGGGTCTGCTGCACGTCCAGACGGAGGCACTTGCCAAATTGCTCGTAGAGTTTGTTGTAGGCGTCCTGCTTCTCGGTTATCTCCGCGAACAGTTCTAGGCAGCGCTTGACGGGGTGTTTCCTGATCACACGCATGGTTTTGTTCTGCTGCGGGGTCAGGCACATTATGTTCTGCGGCAGAAATTTGGAATGGATCACGCCTTTCACAATGTGGAACCACTCGGGCATGAACTCATCGCAGGAGTCCGTGAAGAAGACGCTCCGCTCGGAGAGCTGCATGTGATTACACAGCTTCGCGGACTCGAGGGGAGCCCGAAGGGGCGCGAAGAGCAGCGCGTGGATATCGAGCGGCCCCTCGATGCTGAAATGCTTCATGGCCAGGTGGTTCGTCCCTTCGTTGTACATGGACGTGTAGAAGGAAGCATACTCCTCGTTTGTGACGTCCTCAGGTTTGCGCAGCCAGATCGGCGTGTTCTGGTTGAGCTGGTCCCTCACGTGCGACAGGCCAGGCGGGAGGCCCAGGGCGGCCCCATGGCAAATGTGGCGACGGCGGGCTCGTTGCCGGTGCGCCTGAGCGCGCGAGCGCCTCGCCCCAGACGGGGGAGCGCCACTGCGCGTCGGGCTGGGCGTCAGCTCCATCGGAAGCCTCCTCACCACGCCGTCAGGCGCGCGGTGCCCGCACGCTGGAGCACAGCCTGCAGCATGGCCCTGGCGCGGGGTGCCGTCGGAAGGCCCTCCGCCTCAGTATTGGGCGGGGGGGCACTGATGAGGAGACCGCTGCTTCAACAATGGCCTGAGCTCGCGGCGGCCTTGGGTGTGATGATGATGATGATGATGATGCTGATGATTGCATGGATGGTAGTGGCAACGTCGACCGGCAGCAATTGCACACACAACAACAAAAACGCAAAACGTAAAGCATACAGCCAACCGTTTCCTGCCGGCGCCAGCGCGCCAGCCTGCCCGCCGCCGCCCCTGGGCCTCGCAGAGCCACCGGGCCCGGCGAGCGGCCACCAGGGAGAGGAGAGCCAGCGAACCAGCTCCAGCGCGCGGGCCACCGCTGCTGTGCACCACTCCTCCGCGCCGCTGCGGCCACTGGCGTCAAGTCGGGCATGTGCCTCTACAAGAAGATTACCCAAAAATTATATTATCTATCTTTTCTTCAAAAATAACAAAAACTGGGGACGATTTTTGTTGACCAGTTTGGAGTTTCGGGGAATATGTTTGGGGGATTTGTAGTTTTTGTCCCAAATCTGCCTGTAGGAGGACACGCCCGACCTAACACCGGCGCCGCACCGCGAGGCGCTGCCGTGCCAGCCGCGGCTGGCGGAGGTTCGCCTGGCTGGCAGCGCCGCGCCGGCCGCGGGTCCCGAAGGAGAGATGGCCGAGACCGGGGGGCTGCCACACAGCGTCGGGTCCTCGAGCTTTCCTTCTTGGGCTGGTGGCAAGCGGGGGATAACCCAAATACAGCCAGGACGTGACCCTAAAAAACCCTAGCTAAGAAACGAGGCCCCATTTCTCCCACCAGTTAAGCTTCGATTTTCCATGGAAACTCGCAGGAAAACCTGAGGCAAACAGTTAAACAATCAAGGAACACCGAGCCCCTCCCCAACGAGAAGGGTTCCTTCTTCAGCGCTCCGACTGTAGGAGGTGAAGAAAATAGACCCGAAAGGGGCACCTGAGGGCGCCTTTTTGGAGCCCCTGCTGGCTCCCATAGGGGCCCTAGAAGGCCCCCTTTGCTGCCCTTTTCTTGACCCCAACTTTGGGTCACCCCCATTGCCACCCGCCCGACCCTCGGGGCCGCCACAAGGCCCCGGGATACTGCCAGCGCGGCCGCGTTTTGGAGCGTTGCGAGCGCTGTGCGGGCACCGCGCTGGCATGTCGAACGATGGTAAAACGGGGACTCCCGGGATAGACATGGCAACGTGCAAGATCGCCTCGGTAGCGACTTACCAGCCTCGAACGTATCCCTATCCCTAAGATTGACACGCCAAAAGGCGATGACAATCTTAGGGATCCGCCCTCAAAACGTAAGGGAATCCCTGAGATTGGCATCGTGATGAGGAGGTGCCCAGCATAGGGATAGGGATATATTCCAGGCTGGTAAGCGACGACTTCTTCACTGATGCGCTGAAAGCTCGACACGGCGCGCTCTCCGAGTCTGCGAAGCACCCTCGCTTGACGAGAAGCTGCAGCAGCATGCAGCCAGCAGGGAACGGTGAGGCCGCAAGCGGGCGGGCCCGCACTTGCACGCATGCGGGTGCACCGGCGGAATATCGAGGTGACTGAGGCGCGGATCAGCCCCCTTCCCCGCCCGGGGAACCTGGCACACAGCTGTTGGCGGGACTTCGTCGGCGGCGAGCGAGGCGGGGAAGTGGGAAGGAAAAGGCCTTCTCAGAAGGCTCGGAAGTCCCTCGGCCTTCTGAAACGTTGCATAAGCTTTCTCCGAAGACACAACAAACCGATCAGAAGGCCAGAGGGTTTCTGAAAAGCCCTGCCGCCTTCTGAAAAGGCCTTTTCCTCCTCACTTCCCTTCTTTGCTCGCCGCTGATTTCAACGATCCCGAAGCACAAATGGAGCGCCACGCGGAACTGGTCGTCATCCATGCATTCGGCTAACCCACATGTCAACTTGACGGCGCGCCGGTGAGGGAAGTGAGAAGGAAAAGTCCTTCACAAGAGGCTCTGAAGCCCCCCCCCCCACACAGAAAACAAACTTCTCAGAAGGCGCGAGGGCTTCTGAGAAGCCCCACCGTCTTCTGAGAAGGCCTTTTCCTTCTCGCTTCTCTCCCCTCGCTCGCCGCCAATCGACAGAATGAGGATTTTCTCTTGGCAGAAAGGCCTCGCGCAGGAAAAATCGGTGTCCAGGGCTGGGAGAAGTGCGCATCGCCTGTAAGGCATCGAGAGTATTGCATTGAACATGTCAGCGGCTGATCCGCCGGCATCACGGGCAGGAAACTCTGCGGCAAAAACCGATGGGTGATTTTCTTGGGCGGTGATGATAACAGTTATGACGGGCGAGGAGGAGGAGGAGGAGGAGGAGGCGGGTGAGGAGGAGGAGGAGAATGGGAAGAGGGGAAGGAGAGTGGAAGGGGAGGTAAGGCGCTGAGAGGGAAGAGGAGGAGGAGGAGGAGGAGGAGGAGGAGGAGGAGGAAGCAAAGGAGGACGAGGAAAAGGAGGAGAAGGAAGAGGAGGAGGAGGAGGAGGATTCAAATGACAGCACTTTCGGGGATAAGGGGTTAGACCCCGCCCCGCAGGCGCATCCTGAAGATTAGCAGAGGCAGGGCCGGGCTGGCTTGACGAACCAGTTCCGCTCACACTCTGCTGCCTTGCTCTGACAGCAAACTCGTCACGGGCCTGCATCGCCATCTCAACTGCTTTGGGGGGGCCTCACGGCGAGGCAAGAGGCCCTGGCCCGAGCGGGCGAGAGTTTCTGCGCCTTTCCGGATCGGACGACACTCAGCAATAAGATGGCGGGGGTCAGACGTAGCATGCGCCCCGCAGGCGTGCCAGAAGGTCAGGAAGAATGGGTCCGCTCGACCGAGCGAATGAAACGGGTGGACCTCGACCCCCTGCTATTTGAAACCAATACCGCGGGCGATCTTGGAGGCCCTGGGAGGAGCGGGGGCCCGAGGAGCAAGAGGGGGGGAGGGTTACAGGGGCTCGCACTCAGCTCCAGGAGCCTGGAATTGGGCACAGCCAGGAGGCAGGCCTCACAAACCCACACCGATCCCCTCGGGTGGAGGCGGTGGGCGGAAGCTGCGACAGCACGAGCAACGCGAGACTTCGGGGCCGCTTTGGTGGGCACCGCATCTCTGTCGACCTTGGAGGGTTCCTCGACGGCCGCCGGACCCTGCAGGGCACGACGGGCGCGCCTCCTGATCATCGCAGCAGCAGCAGCGTCGACCGCATCGGCCCGAGGAAGGTCCCCAATCACCCCCATCTCCCACGCCAGCTCCGCCGCCGTCCCCGCCCATGAATCCGCAGCCACGTTACCCATGGCCGTGAGCATCTCTTGCTCACTGATGAAACTCACTCTCTCATCCACGTGCGAGGGGGTCCTCCGCGCCACGACATGGCCAGGCCTACCTCTCCAAGGCTTCCGAGCACGCCCCCAGAGGTCCTCCTGGAGACGAGAGGCCCTGGGAATCTCCTAGATGAGCCTCCAAGACCTGGCGAACATCTTATGATCACTGACGAATTCGACATCACCTGAAACATCCTCAAGCACGAAGCAAAAGGCGAGGAGCTCCGACCTTGGGACTGACTGCTCGGGCCCAAGGATGAGGGATTGCAGCGCCAGCATGCTCCCGATACTCGCCCTCACCATTCAGAGCAAGGGCTACGATGGCAGCGCCGCAGCGGCGCCGACGGGGATCGTCCGAGCGCCGCTTCCCTCCCGACCCGCCCCCGCGCACCGCCGCCCACCCCCCCCTGCAGTGCTGCGCCAGCGCCGCCGTGAACAGCGAGGAGGCCCCATCGTAGTCGCCGTGGTCACGGTTGCACTCGCAAGACCACTTCCTGCGGAACAACGTCTCAGGATGCTCCTTGCAGCGCGGGTAGGTCGTCGACCCGATCTTGCAGCCGCAGAGGCGCCGCCGAGCACGGGCCCAATGCCCGCCTGCAACCACCGCGGGCGTCAAGCCGCGCTCGTCGCACTGGCCGCTGGGCTGACGGCGCTTGAGCCCCCTCTTGATGCGAAGGAAGTCGCCGCCACCCTCGATCGAGACCATCGCCAGCGTCGCGCTTGCTAGCCTCTGCCCACGAGGCCCCGCGGATGTCGCGCGACAAATCATCCAAGAGCTCTGCGGTGGAGCCAAAACGCCCGAACGCCTCCTCATCATTCGAAGGCATGCACCACCCATCAACTCCAGAAGCACCGGGGCGGATCCAAACACCAGCAGACGTAGGATCCCACCCCGCATCCAGAAGCGCCGACTCCACGCGCCTTCTCGTTGCCCGTGACGTGGTTGCAAGACTGAAGCTGCGCAACCTGCAACGGAGGGGTATCCTCCTTAGCTGCCATCTGACGGATGCGCCCAAGCGCCTGCACGATGCACTCGGGAGTGCCAACTGCACCCGTCCAAATCTTGCCCCACCTCGCTGCCATTGCGTCAATGGTGGCGACCGGGCCGGCGACCGCATTGGCCGCAAAGGACGAAGCAGAGACCTCCACACTGGCATCTTCTGGCCGAGGTGCAACAGGATCACGAACATGGCGGTGAAGCGCCTCGGGTGACGTGCGCCACATGCGGCGCGCCCAGTCGGCGAAGGCCTTGCGGGCCTTCCCGATGCCACGGCCAACCTCACACGCTGCCACCGCCCCCATACCGACCACGACCTGCGTGAGGCCGTGGACGAGCTGCTCGCTGGCGAGGCGGTCGATCCCCTCGAAGAGCACGGCGATGCGGTCGAGGGCCACCCTGGCGCGCTCCTGGAGGTCGGGGCGCTGGTCGAGGCGGCGCTGTCAATGGTGTTGGACACGACCGGCGGCTTCGCGCAGCGCGCTCCGCATCTGGCCCTCGTCTTTGTCGCGCAAGAGGATGGCAAAGGCCCCCCTGCAGAAGGTGCCCATGACGGACCAATGCTCCGCGCCGTCACATTTCCAGCGGCCTCGGCCTGGAGAGGAGACCGACTTCTTCCGAGTGACTGCGAGGCCGCGCGCCGCACCCGCAGAGGGTGCTCTCCTGGGCCGTCAGACTGGGGTCGAGGAGCGCCTGCTCGGCCTGGTCAACCCACTTGCTGTAGGACTGGAAGATGTCATCATTCCCCTCAAGGGCCCAGCCACCAATCGGAGCGCCGTGGGTCATGCGCATCTCCGCATCGAAGGTGCACAGCTCCTCGCCCACGGGGAAGCCGTCGTTCCAGCGCCCGAAGCCGACGGCGAAGTCGTCGCCAGGCGAGGCCAGAAGATCTGGAAGTTGATGCAGGTCTGGAAAGGTTTCCTGATGGTCAGCTGGAAGGGCCTCCCTGCGCCTCTGAGGCGCTGCCTGCTTACGTTGGTAGCTTTTGCTGCTGACGGGTGGGGCCCTCGGTGGATGACCGACCGCTGGTAGTGGCCGAGGCAGGACCGAGGCGCGATGCCACCGCGCCGTTGCAGAACCCTCAATCTTGACGTGGAGGCCGCAGTTGACCTCAAGGGACGGCAAGGGCGCCCTTGACCGCGACCAGCTTGGCCACCGACCCGGCAGCGACCACGCAGTCAATCAGCGAGCCAGTTCCGTCGCCAGAGGCGGCCTGGATGTCGGGCAGGACCATCTCACCACCGACATAGTTCCAGAAGGGGCTGTCCGACAGGATAGTCGGGGTGAGGCCCCAGTCAGCAACTAGTAGCCACGGGTATGAGGCCGAGGCCAAGCAGGCCCTGAGCGAGGCCCATCGGTCAGAGTTCAACCCTCCGAACCCACGCTTCGGCAAGAAGTCGGCGGAGATCACGATGAGGTCGCCCGCTCGGAGGTGCCAGACGGTCGGCGCTCATCGACGGCGCGGGCCCTCGCGGCGCCCCTCGATCATGAGGGCCCGCTGGCGCTCGAAGGAGGTCGACGCCAGGTGGGGGCGGACTATGATCCACCCGCCTCCGCCCGCGCCCTCAGCCGAGCGGCCCGCGCGCGTGGCCGCGCAAGCAAAGAGCTTCCAACCGCCCACGTCCAAGCTGGCGCGACGCTGCACCGACCGCCCTTCCGTCGCGCGGGCCTCCGCAAACGCCGCCACGCCGCAGAGGTGTTTGCGCCCCACCATGAGTTCGCGGATTTCGGGGCCCCATTCGGTGAAGTTCCCGAAGAAGAGAGACGCATCAGCACGATCAGCAGACTGCTTCTTCTTGGGGGGGACACGCCTTGGCTGATCAACTGGCGCTTGCCGCGCGTCTTTTGTCATTGCGGCAGCGTCTTATGCGAGAGGCCGAGTCAGGTTCAAGGAGATCCCTGAGCCCGTTCTCGATGGCCCTCGCCGCGCCCCAAATGCGGCAGACCTCGGCGCGCCAGTGGGCGAGGTCTTTTTATCTGCGACAAGAGTCGAGGCGCCGCAGGACCGACTGACGGATCGCAGCCGGCCTGCGCCAAGCCCCATCGCACAGGGCCTCCGCCTTGTCGATGGTGAACTGGGTGGTGAAGAGCACGTGCATCAAGCGCGCGCGTCGCCACCTTGCCGGACCATCCCCGGGGCCCTGCAAGCTCGAAATCGAATCAGCTACTTTCTGCTTCATATCTTCGCCGAGGTGCCGATGCGCCGATGCCGCCAGCTGCGGCGGCCCGCGAGTGCCCGCCCGCGGAGTCCCCGACGAGCCACGCGGCGCAATCGCCGAAGTCGGCGACGCCCTTGACCCCAGGGAGGCGCATCCTGGGCCATGCGGGGCGTCGTCGCGACACTGGCGCCCACCACCATCGCCATGGTGACAGCGGCTGGCGAAAGCGCCCGCGGGGGGGGGGGCGCCGAAGCAGCGTCGCGCACCCGCGCAGAGGGGGGGGCCGCCGAAGCAGCGTCACGCGCCCTCGTAGGCGGCGAAGAGGGAACACACGCCCTCTCCCACTGCTCCAGTTCCAAACCAAAACCAACATCGCTGAAGCGCATATCCTCGAAGGGCTCGATCTCTCCATCCACGGTGGCGCCACCCCCGCCCTGGCGGAGGCGCCCAGGCTGGAGGCCCCCAGCAGGGGCCCCATCAGGAGGAGGCGGAGCAGCTGAGACCCCCGCATCTGCAGGGGACTCCGCGAGTGGGGCTGCCTTCAGGGCCGTTTTCTCAATGCGATCGCGGGCTGTTCTAACCTTGGCCGCTCCGGCAGCAGCGGCAAGGTCTGGCGGCGCAGCAGTGGCCAGAGGGGCCCGTGCCGCCTCCTCCGCCGCCTGCCTCAGGCGGGAGGCCCTCCCCGCTGGCAGCCGCAGCCGTCTGGGATGGAGATTGCCCGTCTCCCGCAGGCGCAGCCGAGGGCTCGCCACCAGCGCCTGCGTCGACAGTGCGGCGCCTCTTGAGCGGCGTTTGGGACGCCGCCAGGGTGACGCCCTCCAAGGCGTCCTGAACCGCCTGAATGACCGCCTTGGCCTGCGCCTTGGCGTCCACCATGGCCGCGAGGGCCGTCTGCAGCTGACCCTTCGCTTCGCCTTCCTCAGTCGCCCACCGAAGCGGTCTTGAGCTTCTCGTCGAACGACGCCAAGAAATCTGGGCCGTCCTCGCAGGGCTCAGGGGCCGTCGGCGAGCGCTCCTTGTTGTAGGCCAGGATTGTAGCCTCGTGGGCCCCCTCCGCTTCCAGGGGCTCCTCCATGGCCATATTGTAGTCTGACAGCGCCTGCTCGAGGCGCTTCTCAAAGTTGCCGATCTCCGTCCAGAAGTTGTGCACATTGGTGGCTGCCTGCTTCGCCTTGGCTTCCGTTGACTGGAGCGGCTCCAGGGGCGTACGCAACTTGGACACCAAAGGCGTCTTCACTGCCTGATTCATGGCCAAGTCTGGGGCCGTAACCGAGGCATAATGCTGCGCAAGGGCCTCAAGCTCGTTGAAGAGCTTCGCATTACCCCAAGGGGTGAAGATCGCAGGTGACGAACCGGCGGGGACAACACCCCCAGCGCCCTTCGGCGGTTCTCCCTTGGGCTTCTTCGGGGTGTACAACTGCTGCTTTTGCCCACAGACGCTGCAGGTGCCGCCGTTCTTGATGATGCGCCAATTCCGGTCCCACTGCTTACAGCTGCGGCAGGACGGGGTCGAGCACATCGCGTGGTTCGTGCGAGGCTGCGGCGCCATGGCGAGCACTGCTGGGTACGAGAAGGGGCTTGTACCGTCGCGCTGGCGACGGGATCGTGATCCCCCGACATGAGCTTGGTCAAGACGCGGACTAGCGGTATCCGTGCTCTGCCACGGGCAAGAGACATCTTGAGCCAAATGGCTACGAAGGACGAGGAGGAGGAGGAGGAAGAGGAGGAGGAAGAGGAGGAGGACGGCGACGACGACGTCGACGACGACGACGACCACGACCACGATCAGGCCCAGTGCCTGGAACTCCTGGGGCGTCGCCGTCGACCGCGGCTCCACCCCGAGGGCCGTGATGTCAAGCGAGTCGCCCAGCCAGTAGGAGCGGCTGGGCTCGCCAGCCTGGCCGGTCTTCCTGACCTCGTCGGGCAAAGGGTGCGGGAAGAAAGAGGAGCTCGGCAGCAGCGGGGAGGCGGGGGGAGAAGGCGGAAGGGGGGAGGGGGAGGACAGGAGGGGGTGGGAGGAGGAGGAAGATGGGGGGAGGAGCAGGGGAAGGGCGAGCAAACAGGCCTCCTCCTGCTCCTCCTCCTCATCATCATCCTCTTCCTCCTCCTCCTCTTCCTCCTCCTCCTCCTCCTCCTCCTCCTCCTCCGCTTCCTCCTCCTCCTCCTCTTCCTCCTCTTCCTCCTCCTCCTCCTCATCATCATCCTCCTCCTCACTACCTGGGTGAGAAGTGCCGTTGTTGCACACGATGTCAGGGGTCGACCGCACTCGCATGTAAGAACGAGTGGCTGAGCTCACCGTGTTTCGACTTAATTAGTGTGGACGGTGTACTTAGCAAACCCCCTCCTGGGCAAAGGGTGCACATCATGGGGGTACGCTCACGGGTCTCACACTCTTCGGTTTCACACAGGGCTGAGGTTGTGGTTGTGTCTTGTTTGCGGGAGTTCTGAAGCAGAATAGCTAGCACAGCTCGGCAAGGAATGCAGCACACGCCTCGACGGTAATCGGATCGATTATCGTATGCGTATTATCCAGGGTCTGTGGTCGAAGGTCTACAGCAAGCGAAAGCAGGCCAGAAGAGCCAGGAAGCAGTAGGGCTAACCTGCTTCCATTCGTAACCGACACATTCGCCATACCCGTAACCCCGTAACTCCACCTCCTCCTCCTCCTCCTCCTCCTCCTCCTCCTCCTCCTCCTCCTCCTCCTTCTCCTCCTCCTCCTCCTCCGCCTCCGCCTCCGCCCGCCTCCGCCTCCGCCTCCGCCTCTTCCTCCTTCCTCCTCCTCCTCCTCCTCCTCCTCCTCCTCCTCCTCATCCTCCTCCTCCCCCCTCCCCCTCCCCCCTCCTCCTCTCCTCCTCCTCCTCCTCCTCCTCCTCCTCCTCCTCCTCCACTCCTCCTCCCCTCCTCCTCCTCCTCCTCCTCCTCCTCCTCCTCCTCCTCCTCCTCCTCCTCCTCCTCCTCCTCCTCACCTCCTCCTCCTCCTCCTCCTCCTCCTCCTCCTCCTCCTCCTCCTCCTCCTCCTCCTCCTCCTCCTCTCTCCTCCTCCCTCCTCTCTCCTCCCTCCTCCTCCTCCTCCCTCCTCCCTCCTCCTCCTCCCCCTCCTCCCTCCTCCCTCCTCCCTCCCGCTCCCTCCTCCCTCCTCCCTCCTCCCTCCTCCTCCTCCCCTCCCTCCTCCCTCCTCCTCCTCCTCCTCCCTCCTCCCTCCTCCCTGATCCCTCCTCCTCCTCCCCCCTCCCCCCTCCCTCCTCCCTCCCTCCCGATCCTCCCTCCTCCTCCTCCCTCCCTCCATCCTCCCTCCTCCCCCTCCCCTCCCTCTCCCTCCTCCCTGCTCCCTCCTCCTCCTCCCCCTCCCTTCTCCCTCCCCTCCTCCTCCTCCCTCTTCCCTCCTCCCTCCTCCCTCTTCTCTCCTCCTCCTCCCTCCTCCCCCCTTCCGGCTCCTCCTTCCTCCTTTCCTTCCTCCCCCTCGGCTCCTCCTTCTCTGCTTCCTCCTCCTGCCCCGCCTCCTCCTCTCCTCCTCCTCCTACTCCTCCTCCTCCTCATCCTCCTCCTCCTCCACCTCCTCCTCCTCCTCCTCCTCATCCTCTTCCTTCTCGTCCTCCTTCCTGGAGGAGGGGGGAGGAGGGAGGGAGCGAGACCAAGACATGTGATGTCCCTGGGAACGGCTTTGTTTTAACCCGAGCCGCCTTGTTGACGGCCTTCGGGCCTGGCTCTGGGGGCCAGACATGGCCAACACGACTGCCGCCTGGTTTTTGTTTTCTGCTGCAAAAAAAGACGGCGCGAGCACGTCTGGGCCCTTGTCCTCCTCCTCCTCCTCCTCCTCCTCCTCCCTCCCTCCTCCTCCTCCTCCTCCTCCTCCTCCTCCTCCTCCTCTCCTCTACTCCTCCTCCTCCTCCTCCTCCTCCTCCTCCTCCTCCTCCTCCTCCTGCTCCTCCTCTCCTCCTCCTCCTCCTCCTCTCCTCCTCCTCCTCCTCCTCCTCCTCCTCCCTCCTCCTCCCTCCTCCTCCTCCTCCTCTCCTCCTCCTCTCCTCCTCCTCCTCCTCCTCCCTCCTCCTCCTCCTCCTGCTACTCTTCCTCCTCCCACTCCTCCTCCTCCCCCTCCTGGTCCTCCTGCTTCCTCCTCCTCCTCCTCCTCTTCCTCCTCTCCTCTCCTCCCCTCCTCCTCCTCCTCCTCCTCCTCCTCCTCCCTCCTCCTCCTCCTCCTCCCCCTCCTCCTCCTCATCCTCATCCTCGTCCTCATCCTCATCATCCCTCCCTCCCTCCCTGCCTCCCTCCTTCCCTCCCTCCGTCCCCTCCTCCCTCTCTCCATCCTTCCTTGACTACCTACCAGACCACACCACCCCAACCGAACCAGAAGACCCGGCCGAATTTCGGGTTGGGGGGGTTAGGGTTCCATATGTGTTTCTCAACGTTCCACTGGAAATGGAGGGAAAATTGAGGCCTTCGGGTTTGGTTGGGGTGGTTTGGTGGGTGGTGCTCCTCCTCCTCCTCCTCCTCCTCCTCCTCCTCCTCCTCCTCCTCCTCGTCATCATCAGCATCATCACCATCAGCAGCATCATCATCACCACCATCATCATCATCAGCATCAGCAGCAGCAGCAGCAGCATAATCATCATCATCATCAGCATCGTCAGCATCCTCCTCCTCCTCCTCATCCTCCTCCGCCTCCTCCTCCTCCTTCTCCTCCTCCGCCGCCTCCTTCTCCCTCGTCTGACCCGACGCTGCGAGAACAGTACAACATCCTGAATAATCGCGACCGAAGCCACAGACCCATCGTTCCGCTGCGCTTCTCCAAAGCCGGATTCGTGAGGGTCGCGGGGCCGGAGACACATGGCACACTCGTCCGTTGCGAAACACTGCCGCTCAAGAAGCTCGGGAGCTTGCACAGGCAACGGTCGTTACCTGGGGGGGGGGGGGGGGCGGGTAACAGGAACGGTTGAGCAGGATGGGGCACTTCAGAGCGGGGGGGGGCGCTGTGGTCGCCAGAGTAGTCACACGAGCACCACAGTGCGTGGGTGGAGGGGTCCAGGCCCCCCTTTACGCTCGGTTGTTACCGCTACACGGGAGAAGTGTCAGACAACAACCGTTGCGCGCCAGAGGATTGTTCAAACACAGAAAATCGTAACCATATCAGTAACAAGTATAACAACACCACGAATGCTTAAAGTAGTATCACAGCAATCAAACATAGCAATACGAATAACAATAGTAGTAACAATGACAATAACAACAATCACAATACGAACCACAGTAATAACAACAATGGTAATACTACGAACACTAGCAGTAACAATAACAGTAGCAACATAAACAAGAACAACACACATCTGAAATAATACGAATAATAATGCCAATACACTACTAAACGTAATAATAATACGGCATCATAATACGGCGAATTATGACGATACGCCTGATACGAACAAACATACGGGTGATACGAATAATGATGAGAATCAGAATAGTGCTTTTCTTCGCAATACAAAGAAGAATATTACGACTAATGCAACAACCTAAACATAACAACCGACATATTGATAGCACGAATAATGCCAATCCACCCCACACACACACACACACACACACACACACACACACACACACACACACACACACACACACACACACACACACAAAAAAAAAACAAAAAAAAAAAATGCTCCTCCTGCTCCTTCTCCGCCCTCCTGCCTCCTGCCTCCTGCCTCCTTCGTCATCCCTTCGCCCTCCTCCCTCCTCCTGCTCCCTCCTCCGCTTGGGGATCGGTCGAAGCACACCTCAGCTACAGTGCAGGGAACCGCTCGTGCGAAAGGCGGCAGCAGCAGGCGCAAACGCTGCGCAAACGCTCTCAACTACAACCCTACTGAGTCGTGCTCGGGGACGGCCCGTAACGTCTGGTAGAGCCTCCGTCGGCAAGTCGCGGGCGGTTCGCCTGCCGCTCTCTTCCCGCCCTGGCCCGCCCTCATCCTCCTCCCTCCTCCTCCCCCCTGCCTTGGGAGGCAACGATCGGGGGGGACTGGCATAGGGGGCAAAACATCGACCTCGAATCGGCGATGCGTCGCCGATGGATCGGTGATAGGCCCCCGACGGTGACTCCGCAAGTTCCTGGGCGGGGGTGGGCCATCGGGCCCGTCAGCGATGAGTGGACGATTGGCGGTCGATGCATCCGCCCATATGCCTATGCCCCCCTTCGTTGCCACACCCTCCCCTTAGAAGAAGAAACAACGCCATAGGCATAAACTTTTGGGGCTCCGCGCGGGTTTCTTGGCGCTGGACCCCCCATCCCGGGCGGGCGGAGCGCGCCAGGGGCGGCGCCAAAGCCCAGCGCGGATGCAAGAAATCCGCGCGGAGCACCAAAAGCTTATGTTTATGGCGTTTTTTCTTCTTGGATCCCTCCCTCCCTCCCTCTGGGGTGCGTTCTGACCAGGATTTCGAAGCGAATCCGGCGGTGGCGACGAGGGCCCCCCAGGAGGCCCAAAAAGGTGAAAACGAGGGAAGCGTAGAGGTATGGGCAGGCGAGCCCAGAATAACATCGAGAAGTCGGCAGCCGAGTCGGGAGAAGTCGAATCGGCGGAAATCGGCAGGCTGGCAGGCCTCCATTGAAGAAGCGGAACCCAAATCGTAATCCGAAGCCGAATCGAAACGGAAGCGGAAGCTGTCGAAACCGAATCGAATCGAATCGGAGAATTCGAAACAAGCCATGCTTCGTTGGCCACCCCTCCCTCCCTCCCTTCCATCCTTCCCTCCCTCCCTCCGCCTCCTCCTCCTCCTCCTCCTCCTCCTCCTCCCTCCCTCCCTCCCTCCCTCCCTCCCTCCCTCACCCCTCCCCTCCCTCCCCTCCCCCCCCTCCCCTCCCCTCCCTCCCCTCCCTACCTCCTCCTCCCTCTCCTCCTCCGCCTCCTCCTCTTCCCTCCTTCTCCTCCGCCTCCTGCCCCTCCTCCTCCTCCTCCTCCTCCTCCTCCTCCTCCTCCTGCTCCTCCTGCTGTTTCTTCTCCTATTCTTAGCATTGTTATTCGTCTTCTTCTTAATCGTATGATCATTCATCTTATCTGTATTCGTACTATATGTAGTATTCGTATGATGTGTGTTCTCAGTATTCGAATCATGCTTCGCAACCATATATGATTATTCGTCTTGTTCGTAGCATTATTATTCGTACGGTGATTAGTCTTATTACCACTAGTATTAATATTGCCTTCGTTATTCCTAATACTTCTTACTACTACACTAACCCTTCGCGGCAAGATCCTTCTTAGTACAAGTATCCGTCTTTTTATTCTTATTAATCGTATTACTAGTGTGATTCCTCCTACTACTACTACTACTACTACTACTACTACTACTACTACTACTACTACGACTACTACTACTACTACTACTACTACGACTACGACTACGACTACTACTACTACTACTACTACTACTACCTACTACTACTACTACTACTACTACTACTACTACTACTACTACTACTGCTACTACTAATACTACTTACTACTACACTACTACTACTACTACTACTACTACTACTACTACTACTACTACTACTACTACTACTACTACTACTACTGCTACTACTACTACTACTACTACTACTACTTACTATACGACTACTACGACTACTACTATACTACTACTACTACTACTACTACTACGACGACTGCGACTACTACTACGACTACGACTACGACTACGACTACGATACTTACGACTACGACTACGACTACGACTACGACACGAACGACTACTACTACGACTACGACGAACTACTACTACTTACTAACTACTACTACGACTAACTACTACTACTACTACTACTACTACTACTACTTACTACTACGACTACTACTACTACTACTATACTACTACTACTACGACGACGACGACACGACGACGACGACAACGACAACGACGACGACGACGACGACGACGACGACGACGACGACGACGACTACTACTACTACTACTACTAATTACTACTACACTCCCCCCCCCTCCATCCTCCTCCTCCCCCCCTCCCTCCTCCTCTCCTCCTCCTCCTCTCCTCCTCCTCCTCCTCCTCCTTCCTCCTCCTGCTCCCCCTCCTCCTCCTCCTCCTCCTCCTCCCTCCTCCTCCTCCTCCTCCTCCTCCTCCTCCTCCTCCTCCCTCCTCCTCCTCCCTCCTCCTCCTCCCCCCCCTCCCTCCTCCCTCTCCTCTTCCTCCTCCTCCTCCTCCTCCTCCTCCTCCTCCTCCTCCTCCTTCTCCTCATCCTTCCTCTCTCCTCCCTCCCTCGGCGACCCAGCGGGTGCCCACCACCAGCCCGTCGACGGTCAGGCTCGGTGGCCTCGCCGGCAGGGCAGGAGCGGGCGCAGAGCGGCCGGCGGCGGGAGGGGGCTCCGGGCGAGGGGAGGAGGAGAGAGGAGGAGGAGGAGGAGGAGGAGGAGGAGGAGGAGGAGGAGGAGGAGGAGGAGGAGGAGGAGGAGGAGGAGGAGGAGGAGGAGGAGGAGGAGGAGGAGGAGGAGGAGGAGAGAGAGGAGGGGGGAGAGGCCAAGGCCAGGAGGTCTGTACACCATCCTGGGGCCACCAGGATGGCCCTGGCCTGGCACGGTGGTGGTGCGGGCTCCGGGCTGGCTTGGGGAGGGGAGGAGGAGAGAGCAGGAGGCAGTCAGAAGTTAGCTCCTCTCAACCTCGAGATGGCCTGAATCGACAGAGTTGTATCCAGTAGAAGCGGATGCAGGGTAAGACTAGTTTTCTTCAGCATAGCTCGAGTAGGAGATATACACCACCACCGTGCCAGGCCAGGGCCATCCTGGCCCTGGCACGGTGTTTACGCCCTCCTGGCCGAGGCCAGGGGGGTCTACAAAACCATCCTGGAGCCCAGGATAGCCTGGCCTGGCGCGGTGGTGCCCAGATGCCTTCGTCAGAGTGGGGGAGCCCTTGTGCGGGGGCAGCAGGCGACAACGACCACATCGAGGACCGCATTGCGCATGCCAGCAATCGTCAGAACACCGAGGCCAGCTCAGTATTAGGTCGGGCGTGTACAGGCGGATTTGGGGAGAAAAATAATACGCATTGTCAAAACATACTCAAACATAGTCAACAATGGTAGAAAAACCGTTCCCAGGCTATGTTTCACTATGTTTGAACATGCCTCCTGCAGAGGGACATGCCCGACTTAAGCTTGGTAGTGGTTGTGGTCGAGGTGGGAGCCCCCGACGGCCGAGCCGACCACGACCACAGCAGAAGTTTCCACGCCGAGGTCGGCGGGCTCTCCCCCAAGGGGCCCTCCATCTGCAGTCGATCTCCGACGCGACCAGTGGCTCACCACACCCTGTGGTTGTGGATGCCCTGACAGTGGACACCCCAACAGTCCTATCGTTGAGTCAGAGATGTGTTTCACATGTTTGAAGAATGCCCTAAACATGTTTAAAGCATGTTGAAAGCATGGTCAAAGCATTGATTAAAAAAACGCGTTTAACCTATGTTTTAATGATCGAGCCACTCAGGTCATGGTAAAGAAAAGATCTGGGAGTCGGACACAACGGCCCGGGATTTAGAAAATCCGTGCTTGGA